CTGACCCTCAAGCTCTCGATGAGAGTAGTTAGTGTCATTACTCACGAGTTAAGAACTCGCAGTATGTGGCTCTTGTTTGCAGTGACCATTGCTTAAAAACGAATGCCTGACTCTGTCATGCGGCCATCATTACAGTCGTCGTCATCAGCGTCGTCATCATCATCGCGGTCACCGTCGTCATGGCCATGATAATCGTCGCTACCAGTACATCACGCTTACACATATCCTAGCGGCACTGATCATGTTGATCTTCTTTCTCACGCCCGTCATCGTTGACTGAATGCATCATTATAAGCATCATCGTCACGGCCAGAATCGCCATCATGTCTTGTTTGTAATTGTAGCATTGACAGTAGATTCGTCACTAGTAACATGTACCATGCGACCGCACAGAAGGATGACAGTCATCATAGTCACCATGAGCATAGCAACCTCACAGGATGAAGGACAATTTTTTGACACCATAGCAGTCCTGTCAGCTATAAGAGTCGTACCAACCGTCACAATTGGTCTATCTGTCTCGCTCTCAGTGTGTGCTCAATCTCACTCTCTCACTCTCTCTCTCACTCACTCTCTCTCACTCACTCTCTTTCTCGCTCACTCTTTCTGACTCTCACTCTCACCCTCACTCTCACTCTCGCTCTCGCTCGCTGTCACTCTCTGGCTCTCTCGGTGCTCTCTCGGTGCTCTCTCTGTGCTCTCTCTTCGCTCTCGCTCTCTCGTTCTCGTGCTGTCGCTCTCTCGCTCTCGCTCTGTCGCTCTCTCGCTCTCGCTCTCGCTCTCGTTCTCTCTCTCTCCTCCCTCTCTCTCTCTCTCTGTGTCTCTCTGCGTCTCTCTCTCTCTCGCTCTGGATATCGGTATACATAGATACAAACTTACATACATTCATACATACATTCATACATATATAGTTACATACGTACATACATACATACATACATACATACATACATACATATACATACATATACATACATACATACATACATACATACATACATACATACATACATACATGCACCTACATGTATCGCATATCACATGTGGCGCTTGAGTATACACATGTACAGGTGCACACATATAACATAGCTATATTACCCCTTTTCAATAAAGGGCATTAAACAAAGTCAATCTATGCTGGTTTGGTTTGCTATATTTTCGGCAACCTGCAAAGCCGCGTAACTACGACCACAAAACTGCAGCTTCTGTCTCTTTTGCATGTCAAGTTCTTAAGACTCTGTGGTGTGTGCTTGTCTCTGTCTAGTGGGTTCCGGATCTCAGGAATGGAACTAGTCTATGTTTTGCTTCAGTGATGTTTTATTCATTGAATGTGTGTTCCTTGTGTGGTAGTTATCGTGTAGTATGTGTTTTAGTATGAACTTCATCAATGATGCGTAGCTGCATATAGTGATCGTTAAATGTATGCAGCAGTTGTTTGTTGGCTCTGCAAACTGGTTGAGTGCTAGTAACGACAATGGGTCCCAGCGCTGATATTAGCCCTCAAGCAAAATAAAAGAAATCAAAATAAATGTGCACGGGCCGAAATGCCACGGCCACCGACTCTCCAAACCGGGTCCAGTCTTGCAGCTTCTTTTGGTTGCTTGCCTGTTTTCAGTTCTGCTACTTCGGAGTAGGTTGGCGATGTTTCCTCCTGCTTCGACTTCCCGGGCGATGACATGCATGGGTCAACGTACAGAAACTGCAGCTAAACAAACAAACATACATACATCCATACATACAAGGACAGCAGCTTTGTTGTACTTTGTCTGGCTTCCGGCAGGATACCTGCGAAGGCCCATGTCCCGGAGTTTCCCGTCTTCCCGGTCATCCTTGACATGGCGGCCTGTTGTCCTTTGGCCACAGCTGGAGCTTGGGGTTTCAGGAATGAGGGTTCAGGGTAGCGCGCGGGTTTGGGGCTCAGGCTTGGGAGTTCGCGGGCCGTGCCCTCTCTGCTTCTGCACCTGCTCTGAGGTTTTGCAAATGCCGATTTTCCAAGGAGGTCGACCTGCAGTGATATAATTAAGCCCAGACATGCACGGCAGAAGAGCCACCGTTGCGCAGCCCGCAGAGCCATGCGTTCAGCCCTTTATCCGACACAATGGAACAACGCGAATTCCCAATTCTTGCAGCGAGCGGCGAAAGTGCAGAACACTTCTGCACTTGCCATTCGGCTTCGGGCCGACGTGCTTTGGTAATTTTGGGTCTGCCATCCCCTGCTCTGCTCCGCGGCGAGGCGCCTCCGCCAACGAGGGTGCCACGGTGTGTCGCCTAGAGCGCAGACTGAGTCCAATCTCTCTGGACACCGACATGGGAGTTTCCGAAAATTAGGGTACCTTATTTTGGGGTCCTTATAATAAGGATCCTATTATTTAGGGTACTATATTAGGGTCCCCTATTTTCGGAAACCACCACATTGGGAAAGCAGAATTCAAGCAAATCCCGTGCAAGACGCAGGTCAGCCGCGAGAGCGCGGTGGTTGGACCTCAAACGCAGCTTTGCTGAATCGAGCCCCGGTACTATTGTTGTTTGGTGTTCTTGTCCTTCTAGGGCTGATGAGCCCTTACAGTTCGAAGAAGGAGAAGCAAAAGTTTCGTTTGCAAAGCTGAAGTCTTTTTAAAGCTGAGGCTTCTGGGGTTACTTACTGGGCTTACTGTATACTCCGACCTGGAAGTGAGAGAAACTGCCTGCTTTGCATGGATTCTGGGCTGTCTTGTGAGCAGTTGGTCTTGGCTTTGCTGTTGCCCAGCTACACGTGTGAAGCGTGCTTGTACGTCGTAGACTTTGCCACAAGGCAGCAGCACAAGGTGGATGCTTCGACATGTGGTGATTATAAAAGGCTTCAATCTTAAACCCCACAGCGGGATCGGTACTACAAGTATCAGGCAGGGCCCAGCAGAAGGCCACGGCGAGCAGAATCGTGTGATTTCGGGAGGGTTTCCAAACGTTTCAGGAGATGGAATTTGCAATGCAAGCGAGCTTAAAACTAAAGCCCAAATTTTGGGAACAGTCAAGGCACCGTTTGCCCAAGACCGTGATGTGGAGTATCGTGGCTGCAGCTGGAATTTCCTATATATGGTCTAAAGGTTTTCATGTAGCATCACGATGCAAGATGCATTAAGGCTGCAACAGAGATTCACGGCTTCAGTGTTTGAATGTTCAGTGACGGGCACTTCGCGGTGCGAGAAGGCGCGAATGTGCACAGCCCCAACGAGTATCATGTCGTAAGCAAGCGGCCGTCTGTCTCAAACCAGGAGAGTGGTTAGTAAACATTGTGCTGGTGCTGTGCGTACAGCGAACTGTGCGAGTTTGTGCATGCAAATCTGAAGAATACGTCCATAAAGCAGTGACTCACGCAAAGACAATCAAGCAACGAGTTACTCAGTCAGTCAGTCAGTCAGTGCAATCCACCAATCAATCAATCAATCAATCAATCAGTCAATCGGCGCATCAGTCATTCAGTCAGTCAGTCAGTCAATCAAGCAATCAACCATTCAGAATGTGGAAACATGTGTTTATGCATTGTAGGTTCACGTTGTGGATACAGAGTGTATATATGTATATTATATATATATATATACATAGTATAGATGGTGTATATAGTATACATAAATATATTTACACAGTATGTTCGTGTTGTATACACTTTAAATAGGATATATTTAGTATGCATAACATATAGTATATATGTATATGTATATATACATATGCCATATACATATAGTATATGAAGTAAATATAGTGTATATGGTATGTACAGCATACTGGTACCTTATAGTAGATGTTCCGTGTGGGGCTAGGATCTTCTCATTGCGAAGTGTTTTTGCCGGTGCTCACTCCTTTGAAAGGAATTTGACACCCCATGTATACATATACATATGTTACATATGCAGATATGCTGCATATACATGCAAACATACATACATACATGCATGCATACATACATACCCATGTACGTACGTTTGTACGCGCGGTTCATGCATTCGTTCATCCTTGCATGCATACATACATGCATACATGCCTACGTATAGGTAGACAGATAGATAGATAGATAGATAGATAGATAGATATGCATATATGTACACACATACACACACACACACACGCGTGATGTTGACCAGCTTGGTCAGAGATGTCACCGGTGTTGTGGCTGAACTACAGAGATGCTGTTAATCTGTGGCTTTTGTTTTCCTTCTATCTTTCTGTGCTCTTTGAGGAACTCCAGGCTCAGATTGCATCAACTATGCAAAGAAACAAATCAAAGTATGACCACAGCTGAAGTAATTCTCCCAGGCGCGCCATGCAGGTACGTTTGCGCTGGTGATGCACCCCACCCCCCTGCAAGCTCAGTTCGTGCCTTTTGTTTGTAACTCAGCCTTTAGAAACAGGGTTGGCGTGCACACGCACACAAAGAGACATTGTGCCCGTACTCGATGGGTAGGCCCCAAGCATCAGCTTAGAACTTGGGCTTCCCTGGAAACGAATTTGCCACTCGAAGCCGAAGACCCAACCCCGGACCCCGGTTCATGGAACTCCGAATCCCGAAATCTCCGAATTTCAGCTCTGGTTGCTAAACCAAATTGGAACCCTAACCCCCAAAACCATGATTCGGCGGAGTTTGGCAGGTTAGGGTCGCTAGGTGGGGCATGGTCTTCAGGTTTGCATCCTTGGTAGGATCCAATCCCGAAGCTGGCCCAAAATACACCCTGACCGAACCCAGGCATTACGTTGCTCACCGCGCTGGCTGTAGGTTTGGCCAACTTCGGCAGTGCCGGCACACTTGCTTTAGCCCGGATTTCGTAGTAGTTTTTCGTCGTATCGCTAGAATTACGACTGCGGTTCCCTGCTTTCTACTACTGATGAGACCACCTCTACTACTACTGAATCCACAAGTACTCACCTACCATTGCCAATGCCATTGCCTCTGCCACTTGCACTACCATTGCCAAGACCCTTATGGCTACCGCTGCCACTATCACTACCGCCACCAGTGGATGCCAGGGATGATTCTGGCCATCCAGTTCCTTGTCCAGCTCAAGTTCAGGTCCATGCAGTCGGCCCTCCACAGCTCAGGTGGCTATTGACATTTGGCTTGCCAAGTAGAAGGTTTCGATTGCGAGACATCATACCAGCAGGAGATTTGCTCGCGGGGCCAATGTTTCCGTTTGAAGGCATACTGCGGGCATACATGATTCTGTTGCCGAATGTCATGTACTCGGATGCCTGCGATTCAATGCTTCAGGGCTTACTAAGTGAGGCTCTTTTGGGAAAGTGGCTTCGCTGCAGGTACATCTGGGTTATGCACGGCCGCAGAGCCTCCATGTGAGAAGGCTTGAAAATCCTTTGTAAATCCTCCGAGGCGAGCGATTAACCTACCCATCTCAGCCGCAACAGAAGCTGCAAGGCTTAGACCCCCCAAACATCCGGAAACCCAGAAACCAACAACCCTTCCCACCTGTACTAGGCACATGGCCTGGCGTGGTGACCCTGGCCAGCATCTCTACCGTCTATGCCTTCATGGGCGTTTGCCTCATCCAGCCGCAGACCTATTTAGGACCAGGAGGTTCATGGGTAGGTTCAGAGGAGTGTTCAGGTTCTTGGTTCGGTTTTGAGGGAGAAGGTTTCAGGGTTTAGGGGTTGGGATTGGGATTGTCGATGAGGCTTTGATACACGGCACATGTTTGAGGAGTCTATCCAGACTGCCTGGAAGTTTGAAGTACGCTGCCATCCCAACCTCTTGTAGTCGAGATCGTCCCAAGGCGCTTTGCGCCAAGCTGCGGCGGCTCCGGCATCCCCGAGAACAAAGCCTTCCTCAACGGGGCAATAATGCCGGGCCTGTACAGCAACTCGGCCGATGCATTTTGGCAGTCGGAAAAAAGCTGCAGATGCTCCGAGATTGGGCAAGTAAGCTTTTTGGAAGCCATGCTGCTGCTGCTGCTGCTGCTGCTGCTGCTGCTGCTGCTGCTGCTGCTGCGACGAGCACGGCAGCAACTCCTTCGAACTGTATTGCTCTTTCTCCTTGTCCTTCTCCGCCTCATTTCTACCACCACCGCTTCTGCGGCCGCTGCTGCAGCTGCTGCGCGGCTGCGGCTGCTACCAACATCGCTAGACCGTTGCTTTTTCTACGACTATCAGCTCCTTCTACCACTATCAGGAGAGGAACTGTTAGTGCTGTCGTGTCGTTATTGGTACTTGTAAGTATCAATCATCTTTGCGGTGCCAGCTTTTATGAGGGCTGTTACGACTTTATCGTCGCGAAGATTGTTTGCTGCGTCTCAGGGTGCCCTGGATGTTGTTGTCGCATGTCCTCGGGCAGAGGCAGGTGTTCTTCGTCTCTGAGGAATCTCCGGATCATTCGGCCAAACCCGGGGCATCTCGAGCTTCGGTTTGCGGCTCGAGGGCGCTTTTAGGGTTTGGGAGTATTGGTTGCGCCCCCAAACTGTTGCGGTATTTCGGTCTCAGATCCTTGAGTTCGGGAGCTCAGCTAATCTGTACTTGAGCTTTAGTTTGCTTTGGCATGTTGTGTGCAGCCAAGGCCGGCGAACGCTGGGAATTCGAATCTGCACAAATATTTTGGCAAATGCTGCCGGCTTCCCTGTTGGGCGTGAGGGCCCCATGGTGAGCATCGGCAGCAACATCTCCTTCCTCCTCTGTGACTCAGCTCATATTCCCCAATTCTGAGATCTCAGGCCCTCGGCCCCAGCTTCAGTCAGTAATTAGGTCTGATACTTGCGAGGGTCTTCCTTGTTGAGTTGACTGCGCAACTGGACGTGCTTTGCAAGTACCACACACTTGTACGTGCACGTGCACTATTGCAAGCTTGCAAGCGAGCAGGCGGGCAAGTTGGTGTATGCAGATATGATAAGTCTTGGTTCTGATATGATGACTGCTGCATCACCGCTACTACTGCTGTTTCGCTGCTTTCGTTGCCATGGTGCACAGTACTGTTTATCATGGCTACCACTATACTTGCTGAGGATCTTGTCGCAATAATTGGTCACGAAGGTGAGTGTGATAGAGCCACTTCATCATGATTGTGGGGTTCTGACGTTTTTGACTTGACGCTGACAGAGGTGTTTGACTCCTTTGCCTCCAGCACAGTGGCACCAGCACACATATAAACACTTACATGTTCCCATACTCATATGCACATGCGTATGTACGCATACAAGTTATACCCACTGTGACACCGTGCATGTATGCTTGTAGCGAGAGAGAGTTATGGTGGGGCCCCGAGCTGGGCTCAAAGCCGAAGGTCGCCACTTCGTCCAGCCGTATGTCCGCGAGTGGGTCGACGTCTCAGGGCCAGGCAGCGCACAGGCCGCCACGACCGTCAGTAGACGGTCATACATCAGCGGATTGACGTGACAAAGAGACACATCAGCTGAACGGAGTTGAATGGATACATCGCAAAACTAGTAGGACCCAGGCAGGCACTAGAAGAGTTCGGGTATCTGCATGCATTCTACGAGGACAGGTGTGCATATGTTGGGGTAAATGCACATCGATCTTTCTTTCGCATTTGCGTGAATTTGCGTGCACACGCATCCCCAACCCGCCACAGAAAAAGGAGCTATGACTCAGTACATTGCTGCCTTTGCTACATAGAACAGCAAAATCAGGCGGTGCATCCGAAAGTTCCGCCGGGACACCAGTTGTCACGGCTGGTGCATGCAGTGTAGGGGTTTCGGCTGTTAAGATGCGTCTTTCTACCTTCAGCGTGCCTTAGAGCGTGTTTAAGTTTGGGTTTAGGCGGAGTTTGATTGTATTCTCGTGATACGAGTGAAAGGCATCCCACCGCTGCAGCTTCCTGAAAGGCCCTGCTCGTCGATGAGCAGCGGCTGGCACATGCAACTCGAATATCATGTGCCCTTGGCAGCAAGAGAACCGTTGTCGCAGAGCGCTGAGTTTGGCTTTTGATTGCACCCTCAATACACCACAACCGCTGTGGCATTTCTCGTGTGAGCTTTCCACAGCTTGCAATAAGAACCCTGGATTTGAACCTGTTAAGGCAAGATGCAACCGCAAAATGACTCAGGGGTCCAGACGTGTACAACACCGCAAAATCCACAAAATTTACGGATTTCATGGAAAAGGCCAGATTGGAGGCCAATGGACTTTTTGAGCTGCCAGAAAAACCAAGAAGAACCGAGGGGGCCCGAGGAAGAACCGAGAGAGAATCGAGAGGAGCCGAGGAGAACCGAGGGGCACCTCTCCATTGTAGATCTTTTTTGGGGATACTTTCTAAACTCCGTACTATACAATTAATTGGTTAAACCAAAAACAGGAGCTACAATGGAGACTATGGGTATACCCGCAAATGCAACCTTCAACCCTAAGCTGGCTTGAGGAAGAAAACTTGCAGCGCCTTGCAGCGCGTGCGTATCTTTTGCGGATTGGTGGCGAGCGTGATCGTATGTGTTTGGGGTATATCGCAACGGAACAGCTACCGTCCGCGCAGCTCAGGCTCAGGACGGCTTAGGTTTCCCTTCCGGGTTAACTCTAGCGATCGTCTTTCACTTGCTGTACCTTTTTCAGCTGTTGTGCAGGTCTGCCGTTTAGCCCCTCGGTTGCCGTAGCCGTCCTTTGCCATGGCTTGATGATTCTGTCTTGCAGGCAGGATCTTGTTCAGCACCTGTCCCGGTTGGTCAGGTCCCTTGCCGTTCTGCTCTTCGAGTGGTTTCGGCCCGGGCCTCAGACAGCGTCTGTGTGCCCCTTTTTGCTTTATTCCCTGTCTCCGGCAGGCCGCCCTACTTGGTCTGTTCCGTCGGAACGTCCTACAGGTGGGTTTTTCCTGTATTGGTACTCTTGTTGCTGCCTGGTCCCGCCAGGTACAACAACACGGAAGAGCACCTCAATCAGCTCTCGGACGAGGCCTGATCTCCGATCTGTTTCCGTCCTGTAGCTTCTCCGTTTGGCAGGATTCTCATCTGGCCCAGCCTTGGCCCGGTCCTCAATCCTGATTTTAACGGTCGATATATATTTGGCCAGCTCCGGTTCGTGGACACTCCGTGCCCTGCGGATCTTGATCCAGTGCCCGCAGCAGCTCGGCATGCGCATTGCGCTTCACATGTGCTTTCTGCTTCTTTCCGGTTGCGCCTACATGCTGTAGCCCGTGGCCCTTTCGGCTTAGATCTCTGATCTTTGATCGCAGGCGCCTCCGCCTCAATTCGCCGCTTTTCTTCGCGCCTTGACCTCGGCCGCCCCGGTCCGGTCATGTCTCGTCCGTCTATGTGGGACAGCAGGGGCTCTCCCTCTGACGCGACCGGTCCGGGCACCGGTCCGGGCGCTCCGGCGAGCAACTCACCGTGCCGGCTGGTTTTTTTGGGGGGACATCTCCGATCACCGGTCCCGGCCTCCCTGGACGTGCAGCGAGGGGTGGCAACTGTCCCGGCTAGGCATTGACCGACCTAGAGGGTCCGCAGCATCCGGTCACCCGCCCGCGTATCCGGACCTTTTTATTTTAGTGTGCACAGCTACCCTGATGCTTCCGGTCCGCGGCTTCTGCACACACCCGTGTGCAGCTGCCAGTTCCGGAGCCTCCTACCGGTCCAACCGGTGCTAGGGCCCGTTCACCTCGGTGAGCACCCCGGTCATTCCGGCCACGACTGCTGGAATTGTTTGATCCGGCGTCCGCGCAACCCCTGACTGCAGGTTCCGGACGGTCCGGGTTGATCCTGACTCGGACGAGTTTCCGGTCAGTGATCTCGATCCGGTTGCCTTGGAGGTTGAGCTCCTCCTCTCCGGTGATGGCTCCGGTCGCTGGCCACCCAACCCCATCAACCGTACTCGTCTGTTCCGGGTCTCCGTGGTCGGCTATTCGGTCTTGAATACCTTCTGCACGGACGGTGAGTCACTCCGGTTGGATTTTGCGGGCTCCGTCCGCCTCGAAGGCTTTCCGGTCTCACCACCGGTTTCCCCATAGGTAAAAATTCGATGCCATTGAGCGGTTGTTATATCTTCCGGCCACGTTTTACCTTTGGGGGAACCGACAGCTTGCATCCGGTGCGGTCTCCGACCGCTTCGGGCTTGTTGTAGCCGACTCGCTCCCATCGCAAGAGTCGCAGCGCAACTTTTGTCTCGGGTGCTTTTAGTCTTGTTGTTCGTCTCTTCTCTTTTGACCTTGCCCTGTTCAGGTACTTCGGCGACTACCTCAACCCGCCCCTGCTCAAGACGATGAACCTCTTCCCTCTGCACCAGGCCAGCGGGTTTGCGTTGTTCGCCGCTTCCGGTCTGCTGCGACTCCTGCTCGGGACTCTGCGCCCTCCTCTCCGGTCCGGTCTTGTGCTTCTTCGCTTGCACCCTCGGTGCCGGCTCTTCCGGTCGATCGGTCCTCACGACTGCGCTCGAGGTCTCCTAGATCGAGCTTCTCCGGTCCCGACGATTCTGCGAGTGCTGACCTAGATCCCTTCTTTTTGGTCGTCCTTCTCCAGTTGGGCGCGAGTCTCGATGGGCTCACTTGACCCGCCGCCGGCTTGGTTTGCGTCCTTTGTACCGACCTCCACTTTTTCCGATTTCCGGTCGTCCGGAGCCTTGCCTCCTGGCTCCCCCCACCATACCATTCAGGTCGGGCTCGTTGGGCAGCCTTTCCTGTCCGTCGACTTCGCCCCGTTCGGTCAGCGCCCCTAGACTGCAGTTTTCTTCTGCACGCCTTGCCCCCCATGTCCCGATTTATCAGCCACTGCCGTCGATACCGGCGGTTTTGCCTCCGGTCTTCACGGTTCCTGCTGTGGTCTCTACTACCCCGTCTTCTCGCTCGCCACATCTGTCTCCAACTCCATTGTTTTCGGGGGACCCGTGTTCGATGCGGGGGATGGCTGAGGCCTCCATGCAGAAGCTCCGTGATACCTGGCTGGATCTTATCAATGGGTTTGGGGAGCATTCCTCCTTGTTCACTTCCAGTAAGGCCTCAGCTCAGCCAGAATCCTCGGCCTCCCCGGCGTTCTACTTGATTGGCTCCTGGCTCAGTCCAGTCCCGGTTCTCCCGGCATGCTGGCCTTCCGGTCCTTCATGCTCAGATCCAGGCTTCTTTGTGGATCCGTTCCCTGCTTATGCTACATTGGCGGGAATCCTCTTCCGGCCCTCCTCCGGATGCATTCAAGTTCATTGGCGCCCGCAGCGCCAAAGTGACGTTGCTGAGCTGGGCAAGACAGCTTAACTTTCCGGCCGATCTGCGTCGCATCCAGGGTCATCACCGGCTGTCTGGCGCCGATGCTTCCGTGGCCCTTTACAGCCGGGGCGATATAGGTCCCATGCTTCACCTTCAAAGGGCTCTTGTCTTTCACATCCGTTCCGGTTTCCGCCCATGCAGCCTCTTTCTCGGGGTCTGGCTGAACCTCTGCCGGATTTTCCTGTGCAACTGCCCCCCGCGGTTGCCTTCTCTGGTCTGAATCTCTCGCTGCAGTCGCTTACGTGGTGGAACCTGCCCTGAAACCCCCGTCCCCTGCATGCAGTGTCCGGTCATTCACCGCCTTCCTCGGGTCAGGAACTCGCGGTTCAGCCGTCTCCCGACCTCGAAGCTCAAATGGTGGCCGAGGCTGCGGCCCACGCACCTCCGTCGTCTTCTGAGGAGGAGCTTCGGGAATCTGTTGTGATTCCGCCAAATTCCACCGGCGCTGGTTCTTCACAAACACCGCAGCAACGTGGTTCACGCCGCAGTCCGCGCGGATCGCCGCGCAGTCTGGAGGCCACGCTTCCGGACGGCTCCGGCACCGCCTGGGTCCGTCCGGCCTGCGGCTCTCAAACACACCAGCTCGCTCCGGACTCATTGTGTGACTCGATTCCGTCGATTACCACTTTGTGTCTCCCCCGATTTTCCTCGCCTGCTGGATGCTATCTCACACTTGCTACTGGGCGGAAAAGTCGGGGGTTCCCGCCTCCGCTTTCGCCCTTTGATGTGCCGGTATCCTTTGTTGTCTGTGTGTCTGTTCTGCAGCCATCTTTGGTTCAATGCTCCTCTGCCCGTGCCCTTCCCGTCCCCGACTCCTTCGGTAGGATTATGGCGGACCCGATCGACCCCTGAAAACGTTGAACGGGCCGACATCCTGCACCGTCTGGCATCGCTGTAACAGCAGGTCCGCGACCTGGAGTCTGGCCTGGATGCCGCCCGCCTCGAGATCACAGAGGACCAGAATGTGACCCGTCATTTCCGGGCCTCGGTCGGAAACCTCATAGAGCGCTCTAATGCGCTTATGAACGAGTCCGGTCGGCGTCCGGGCGGTCCGGACCGTGGCAAGAAGCGCAAGCTCACCGTGGATCCTCCTGCTGCGCCAATCCCAAGGGTGCGCCCAAGGGTATGGCCAAGGCGGACCTGAAGAGGCGACCTGGCCCCAAAAAGAAGACCGTCGCAGACAAGTGGGACCCCACCTGGGCCACACGTATCGATGGCCACTAGCTATGCAAGAAGTTCGAGCAGAACTCCGACTCCGCCCGCGCAGAAGTGGGCCACCGCTCAGGCACCTCCTCCCGCCCCTCCTCCTTCCGCTCTGGCCGCGCCCCGAGTTCGGCTACGACCCCTCCTCCCAAACTCCCGCCGCCGCGATTCTTGCTGGCCAAAGTCCAAAGTTTTCAGGCCTTTGCGCGGCAAAAAACGAACAGGTTTTCACTTTTGCCAGTTGCTCCGGCTTCCGACTTGGCCCATGATGATGTTTATCACGGTCTCCGGCCTGGTGGGGGTCGCCTTCGCCTCCCCGCCTTGTGCATCTTTCTCTAGGGCCAGGCTGTGCCCGGGCGGCCTCCTCCGGTCCGCGCGCCCGCCTCCGGTCAGGAAGAACTTGCCAGTTCATCTTTGCTGCGCCTCCGTACCGGGACTTGCTTGCCTTGGTTTCGGCGGGGGGCGGGACCATAGTGATGGAAAGCACGGTCTCCAGCCTTCTTTGGCTGGACCCCGTGGTATCCTCCTGGCAAAAATCAGAGCGTGCAATCATGGACTTAACGTTTTCAAACGTTGGTTCTTTTGCTCCAACTCCGACAGGATCCTGCGCCTTGCGTCTGTGTGTAAGCATGCTGCGAACATCCACCCCGCAGTATCCGGCAAGCGCCTATCGGACGGGTCGTTTGCCACTCGGCTTACCGCCCAGTACCCGGTCTCTCTTGCGGACGAGCTGGCCTCTGCCTTCTCTCCCGGTCTCAGGCTCGAGGACAGGCTGATTCCGTGGCGGGGCTGGCGGTCCCTGCTTCCGCTCAAGCTCGCTTGGACTCCTCCGAAGCGCCGGGTCGAGGATGGCGCCGGCCTTTGTAGCTTTGCCTTTTGGCATCATTCGTCTGGTCCGGACACCTTTAAAGACCTGCGGTCTCGTTGGACGTTGGACGCGGCGTCTCCTTGCTCCGGGCACACTCTCGTCCCTGACCTGATTGCCCACCTGAATTCGCCGTCCAAGGATCCTCCCCTGTCGAAACAGGAACTGTCTCTTTTTCTTGCGGACCTCCGTGCATTCCTCAACATTTCGGAGGACTCGGTCTGGGAATTACTTCTTTCCGTTGACGAAGGCCAGCCCTTCCGGTTGCGTCTGCTTCACTGCTTAGCCCTCATCATGGGCGACCCAGATGCTGAATACGCCCGTCTGTTGCAGTCCGGGGTTCCTGTTCCTCTATAGGGGTTGATTTTCCGACGCCTCTCTGTCCGGTTCGGTTCTGCCGCCCCCGGAGCCCCCCTCGGAAGCGCATTTGCAGCACTGTCAATCAGCTTGGCAGTCAGCTCTCTCGCGCCCGGACATTGTCGACGAACTTCTGGCCACCGAACTGGCCGCCGGCTGGATTGAAGTTGTCCAAGGGGGGCATGAAGAGCTCCGGTCTTGGTTCATCAAAACCGCCGTGGAGAAATTGGGGGTCGTGGTTTCCGACCACCGCCCCCCGCGTCTAGTGCGTCTAGTGGTTGACAGCTCCGTCTCCGGTAACCCACACCCACCTCCCCAACCGTTGCCCCAGCCCTACCCTCATGGACGTTCGTCTGTGCTGCCCCATTTTTTCCTCTCAGGAACGTCTTTGTGCCCTTATTCTTGATGTTGCCAAAGCACACAGACGCATCCGTATCCGTGCATGTGATTGGGGCCTTCTATGTTTCCGGCGCCGGGGTAAGCTTTACCTTTTCAAGTGCCTCAACTTTGGGGCGCGCCAGTAGTTTCTACTGGTCGCGTGTGGCCGGTCTGTTGGTCCGGTTGTCCCGTCGCCTCTGGTATGTGTCTCACTCCGGTTTCATCTACGCTGCTGGCACTCTTGGAGTCGGTCAGCGCGCCGCTCTGGTCCGGAGTCCTGGTCATTCTTCTCATGATTCTCCGGGTTCCGATGAGCTGGCGCTCCTTTTCGTTCCGGGTCGTTTGGATCGGTTGGGAAAATTGACTTTTCCCTCTTTGTCCGGCTGGAGGCCTCCAAAGCATCCCGCATCCTCGCGCTCATCGACTTTCTTCTGCAATGCCGGTCATGCTCTCTGACCGACTTGGAACGCATCACCGGCAAGCTTCTTTGGGTTGCCGGTCTCTTCCGTGCGCTTCGACCTTCGTTGACTCGATCCCCTCTACAGGGGTCAGCATAAACTGCCCCCGGTCATGTGCGCTCTTACTCCGGACCAATGGTCTTCCCTGCGTCCGTTCATTGCCCCTGACTTGCGTATTACGCGCAACTTGGGCATCCCCTCCATCCAGGTAAAAGCCTCCTGGCTTCGGGTTGGCCAGACTCCTGTCTCTTCACTCTCGGATTTGCCGCAGGGAGGACATTTTGTCCACCTCTTCCGTCCGAATTTCTTCCGGGTCGGATGATTTATCACCCTATCTATCTGCGTTGGCCTGAGTTGGTGTTGGGTCGGTTCCGTGGTCGGGTCAAGCCAGCTTGATGCGATTTTTGGATTTCCGGATTCAGCAACTTCGACCGGTCAGTTTCGGTCTGCCGGTCCCTTAGAACTAGTCCGGTTTCTTCGACCGGTCTGAATATCGGACCCGGCTGCCAAGACACTGGACGGTTTTCGCCAACGGGAAAAAAGCTAAGGGTCGGACGGTCGGACCGTTCTGCTCGCCGCTGTAGGTCCCGCTTTGCTTTGACTTAACCCGGTAGGAAACGGAAGCTAACCCCGAACTCGAAGGATCGAAGACGGGAAGCTGGAAGTCGTCAACTACCAGCTGCCAAGTGCTACGCTGCTACGGCGGAAGCCTCCGTCGATTCGCCTGGTTCCACTGGTGGCAACCCAACGACGGACATGGAATTGGTGCGCTCGGCCCCGCGGCCCGCTGCACTGACAATCACAAAATGGCCCAAGCCTGAGTGAAGCAGAACCTTGCAACTTGCCATCATCTTCCACTGCACTGAGGGGCAGCGCTGAGAGGCTTGAACATGGCAGGATTTGGTTCTAAACAAATCGGGCTATGGACGCAGCAGGAACTGGCTTAGGCGTTGCGGTCGTAGACTGCAATTTTGGTGCGCTTGTGTAGCTTTACCGTTGAGCCCGGTCAGACAGCTGTACTTGCTTTCCAGCTACGGCTTTCACCACGTCACCATGTCGTTGTCCGCGTGTGGTCGAGGCAGTGTAGAGCGTGTTTGGATGCTGCCCGGTGGAAGATCCCACCAAGCCGAACCAAAGCCTGAGGGCCGTGCGCCCTCGGCCTGAGACTGGTGCCGACGGGACCCTTCTGGCCTTCTCCCAGGCACTGTGGGTGGAGCTTGCGCCATTGCATCCATCTTCAATGCTCCATTTGGGGGCCTCCTCTACATGTTCGAGGACTGGCGCGGTAATCATGGAAGTCCTTTGCGCTCGTTGTTGTGTTCTTGCAGGGTTGGATGTCCGTCCTAATGTGCAGTGCCGCAAAGACTGTTCGAAGCATTTCAGCCCGAGAAGTAGGGCCGAAATCGTTTTCTCGCTACGTTCCGAGCTGCTGTTTCTAGACTGTCATCAATGTTTTGGCAATGCTCATGCTTCGCTTGTCGGAATGATCTGAATCAGGCTGATCGGCATGCAAACCGAAGGCCCCCTGGACCGCTGACTGCCCAGGAGGTCACGTCCCTTGCTTGGCCACTGGAGCTGACCTTCCGGGTTTTTGTGGCCACCATGTTCTGCCACTCGGCTGCGGTTACCCGCGGGCTTGAGGTTGAACTGGAGGTTTGAGGGTTGCAATGAAGCTTCTGGAAGATCCGTCTGGCTGCTGAAGGATGTGATAGGCATGTAGGAGGAGTGAGGACAAGCTGAGATCATGCGATCCTGCGCTCCTGTAGTGGACTATGACACGGCTCCTACAATCAGGGGGTCGGAAAACATTGCTGCCTCGTGAAAGTTTGTGCCGCTTTCTGGATTTGTAGTTCCGAGTGATGGGTTGGAAGCTTTTGCGCTTCAAGCAAGGTTCGCTGCTTTCTTACGGCCTCTGCAACCTTGTGGGCTCTGACATTACAGAGTTCGTGATCTACGCAGAAACGCCTCAGGACAAGAAGTGGGCCTGGGGCGCCCTGGCTGAAGGACCCAGGTCAGCGGTCACGCGAACCTGATTTCCAGTCTGGGCCGCATGCCACCCCAGTTTTCGAAGTTCCAAAGGTGAAACTGGTTCGTCACATCAGCACTTGCTACTGCTGCTCCTACTCCTACTACAACCTATTACCACTACTACTGGTTCTACTTCAACAGCAACTCCAAATGATGCTGCCGCTACCACCACCACCACCACGACGAC